TACTTTTTCTTCTTTTGATCTATTATGTATGTAAAGTACTTGTGAAACAGCATGTTTACGTTAACTTTATTGCGCATATTACAAAGAATAATCCGATTTTTTGAATGATTGTATTCAATTTATAATGAAAGAGATGAGAATGCAGTTTTGACAAATCTTATTCATTTTTATGAATCTTTATATCCCTCAGATCAACCATTACGGATTACTGTCAATTACTGTAATATTATCGTAAACGACCGTTTATGCACCGTAAAAGTGTCAGTTCTTTGACTAGAGCTGTATTTTGTCATAGATTGACAACAAATTGATTTTTATACATTCTGTCAATTGTTTTCTTTTTAGATATAAAAAATCATATTGAGACAAAAAAAAATCAATCAAATGGTAATATAGAGTCTCAAAGAAAACGTAAATAACTTTAAAATAGATCAAGATTTTCTTAGAATTTCATTTGATCTTATCATCTATAGCAAGTAAGTTGTGAATATTATTTTTGTATATGTCTCTAAGACAAAAAAAAATTCATTAATATTAACAATAAAATCAATACTCATTTCCATAAGTCTGATATCCATGTATATAGCAACTTACGAAGAAACCCATCCGATTGATAATTTCCGTTTGAGCTTGTAGGTAGAATTCATAGTGTAGATAAAAATTCTGGAAGGGTTCGTGCTTTCTTTTTTTTTTTGAGTTATGGTCATTTTACTGAACTTCCAGCCTATTGCAGGATATCACGAGAAAAATCGCAATAAGAAGTTTCGATCGGAAATTCTCTCTCAACAATAGTTTTTATGATATCCTGAAAGTTTCAGCTCAAACAGATGTTTTCCTTCATAAGATAATATAATATGCCAGTTTGAAAGCATACGATATCTCACGAAGGAATCATCCATTTAGACTGCAACTTCCAGTATATCATAAGAGCTATTGATGCATAAAATTTCAGGCCATAACTCCTTATTGCGATTATCCTGCAGTAGGCTGAAAGTTTAGTAAAATGATCATAATTCAAGAAAAATGACCTAATGACACAAATCCTTCTAGGATTTTTTATCTACACTATGAGTCCTGCTTATGAACTCAAATGAAAATTAATTATCAATCGAACGGATTCACTTGTTAGTCATTAAATTAGACTGATAGTTTGTTTCTAAAGGAAATGAATAAAATTGATTAAATCAAATAGAAATTATCTTATAAAATCAAGATCATTTTTTTTGAAAACAGAAATAAGCATTCTCATTGATCAAGAAGATCTTACATAATCTTCTGAAGTACAGATGATTTTTCTTTTTGTATGTCATTTAAAATGCCAATATCTAACCATTAGGGATTACTTTCTAATGTATTTAAATAAAAAGTTACTACTCTCATTTTATTGTTATTATACTTTTCTTTTTTTTTTACAAAGATCTTCAAACGAATTATAAAATAAATCTAGTAAAAACAAAAATTGTTATGAAACATTGTTGTTTTTTTTTTTTCGATTCTATCTCGAACTTTTGATGATTATCATTCGTCATCATCAGAAAAATATAATATTTATCGACAGCTTGAAAACAGAATACAAAATTTTCATTACAGTTTCATTAACTATAGCATCAACTGATTCTATAAAGCAATATTTATTTAGGATCACTTGACATACTAAAAGAACTATTCACATTTTTATTCTACATACAGATTATTGAGATATTCATTAGATTTAATCGTATATTTTAGTTTAATATCAATACATCAAATACATTTATACGATTATTATAATGATGTAGACTGATTTGATGAGCATTTTTTTTTTGTTCGTCTCACATTGAAAAAAATAATCGTGAATTGCTCAAAATTTTAGTTTTATTCTTTAACGACATTGATATTTGATATCAGTTCATGCTTAACTAATCCAAATAAAGTAAAGACGCCATACTGCATGTGCCTTTTGTCAATATTTAAGGACAAATAGTTAAAAAAAAAAAGATGATGAATACATAGTAAGTTTAGTAGATGATAAAATATATAACTAAACACCTCCTCAGTTTAGAAGCCCGCGAGAGCTTTTATTAAGTCCTAAAATTTTTCAATACTTTTAGATGTAAAATTTTGTATACTTATGGAAAATAACTTTAAATTGAATTAAGCAACGTGCTTGAAATATTAAGAATTAAATCATCTTCTCGAGATAACTTGAATATTATTGCACCAATCACGCTGCTGAATTCAAATTAAGTTCGTACACTGTGTAGAAGGCTTTTGTTCTATGTAAAATTTTCTATTTTTGTAACAATCTCATTCTAAATCTTGGTAATGAAGATTTATACATCGAAACGTCAATATGAAATAAAAGAAAACAAAAAGTTTGAAGAAAAATTTTTGTTTCTTTCTATCAAATTTAAATAGTAACATTATATATTCCTGTAAAATCATTATTACTAGATGTAACAATTTCAAAGGATTTTAGAGATTTTCAGAATTTTTAAGAGTTGTTCAAACGACTTTCTAAGAGATTTTATGCTGATAAATAAGAAAATCAAGTAAATTCTTACCTTAAGATGTTGAATTTTGCAAGTTTTATGATGAAAATTCAAAAAGTTTTTAAAAGTGAAGGGGCTTGGGGAGATTAATAGAAAATGTTTTAACAATAATATTTTTTTTTAAATAGTAAATTTAGAAAATAAATTTTAATTCTATTTCATTAGAATGTTAAAATTAATTTTTCTGTTAGACAAAGTGGAATGTAGTTATATGTGTTTTACATCAATATTTGATCTTTTGCACACACACATCTATTCCATAAAAATTACCTAGAAGAAATATCCGAACTTAAAGATGTAAGTATTTTTAGTTTTTCGTAGAATCTTTTGCTAAAATGAAAAATTCTTCTTACTGTCAAAGTAAAAAAATTCGTTTTGTTATTAAAATCTCTATATATTCGACAAATCTAAGAGAGAAATAAGGCTAGCATATAGATTTTGTAGAAAAAAAAATAGTAAATTAGTTTTATTAATTATCAAAAGAATTTTGATATTTTCGGAATTGTTCATCATTTCAGAAACTATTTGACATAACTGAACGAAAGTATCAAATTTTTTTTATATTCAATATTGTTTAATTTTCTTTGACAATAATACTAGTTACCTCAAGTCATGCTAGAATCACTATGATTAAGGATAAGAATGAGAATAAAAGATTAATCTAAGGTTAGATTTGAAGCTGAGAGTAACGCTTGGCAAAGTAACACAGATGATTCAAATTGTTACTTTCGCCGTGACGATTCCGATGTAGCAAAAACACTCTGTGTATAAATATTAGAAGAAAAAAAATAAAATGAAGGTTAGTCTTAAGATTCGAATATTGTCGATATTTGAAGGATAGAAATATAAGTAAAATAAAACGTAATGTAAGACATACACATATCGAAGAAAGAAAAAGCTGATGGACTATTCTCTTTAATAGATTATAAATCACACAATTTTTTGAACGAATTTCCTCTTCTAATTGCTACAAAAGTAATTAAATTTGATTCATAATTTTTCTAAAACTCCTCTTAGGCACGTAGGCGAATACAAAAGCACATCCTGTATGTCGATTTGGTTGTTTATATCCAGTCAAGGGCGACAAAAAAAAATATTTATATGAATATCGTTGTCATATACACTTCAATATTGATTTATAATTTGAAATTTCTTGAAAAAAATAGTAATAAAGTATCACAAGTATTATCATAGATTGAATTAATGTTAAAAAATTGCTGATTTGTACATCTATAATATAATAAAATCTAACTGGAATATTCACTACACTTAACTCTTTTCTATTTATTTTCTTCTCTTTGGTAAAAAATATCAATTCTAGAAAATTTTTATTCTACTTATCAAGATGTTTTCTCTAAAAGTTCTTAATAAAAATATCAATGTGAGAATACTAGAAAATGTATTACTGTAGATATATTTTGTTTCTATAAAACAACTATTTTTTATTCAGATGAATAAGATTTATGATAAAAAAAGAAGTACAAATGTCAAAAATTTCTATAGAAATTCTAAATCATTTAATATTCTAATTATTTTTTCTCTAATTAGTAATTATTATTGTTGATATACAAATTTTTTCTTTAGTAATAAAATGTTTTTTCATTTTCGGTATAGAATCTGGCGTTTTGTTGTATAAGAAAGAAAAGAAAAAGTAATCACATTGATGAAAAAGAATCTGGAATATAGAGAAGAAGAAGTATACGCTGTACAATGTCAAAATTTGATCATTCTTCAAGCAAGTATTTATTAAAGAGTCTATCGTATACCACGCTGTGAGTATGGCAAGCAATATTCTATAAGCTTTCGGATGTGTCAATTAATCCAATCAGACTGATGCTGTTACAATTTCTCTATTTTCTTCGAATAGTCTAGTTGTATTATTTTCAATGTTATTCAATGTTTTTTTTTTGTCATCAATAGGTTGTCACAACAAAACTATGTTCTTTTTTTTTTGCTTTCCTTGCAGAAAGCACATTTTCAAATAAATCTGAAAAAAAAACATTCTGTTTTTTTTCTCTTTTCTTCTATTACAAATTCTTTTCAAATAGTCAAAATAGAAAAATGTTCTGTTGTTAATTTAATTTCTTTTAATTCTAGAATATCATCCTTGTCTCATATAATGAATGAAATATTTTGAAATATATATGCAACATTTAATTAATAGTCGACTTTTTCTTCAATGTTTCAAAATCGTCGTACTATACTTCTATTTATTTGTTCAATTGTTTTTGTTCAAGCACTTTATTATATTGTTACATTACAAGTAAAACATAATCAAACAAGATTAATTAATTTTCCATCGATAATATCATATGAACAAGGATCAGATATTGAAAAAATTATTGTACAAGATATAAAGAATGTAACATATTTCAATAATACATCTATATCAAAAGAGTCAATAAGAGAATTAAAATCATCTGTTGATGATTTAATTTCAATAAATTTTACAAAACCTGATCCAATTATATATAATTCATTACCTATATGTAATTTTTCTATATCAAATAATGATTCATCTATTTATAAAGTAACAATTAATAAGGATATTAATCCATTTAATATTATTGAAAAACATCATGGTTTTGATTTACATATTGGTGGACATTGGTTTCCAAAAACTTGTCAAACAGAACAACGTTTAGCTATAATTGTATGTTATAGAAATCGTGAACCACATTTAAAATTATTTCTTGATAATATACATCCATTTCTTAAACAACAACAACTTGATTATACAATATTTATTGTTAATCAACATGGTTATGAACAATTTAATCGTGCTATGTTATTTAATGTAGGTGTTATTGAAGCATTAAAATTATATTCGTTTAATTGTTTTATTTTTCATGATGTGGATCTTTTACCAGAAGATTTAAGAAATGTTTATAAATGTGGAGAAAAACCAAGACATATGTAAGTGAAACTTTTTACGAACATAACTTTGTAACTTGTTAATCGCGCCATTAGTTGATTGCAGCCAAGATTTTGAAATTTTATACAACGATAAAACAGAATAATTTATTGTGAAAATTTTAGGCTTTTTGATTTGCTTCTATTCTGAAATAAATATATCGAATCTATTAATGTATATAAAAGATACTTTTTCATCATTGTCCTAGGAACAACAAAAAGCTCTAAACTAACTATTCTGTTGAAGACCTATTGCTGTACAAAAATATCGAGTCGAAATTCGAAAATCAGTTTTAATATGCTAATAGCATGAATTCTTTTGAAGACACAATGTACCGACTCAAAAGTGATTAATCACTTGAAGGATTTGTTTCGTGCATGATCATAGCATAACTAAATTTAGATTAAACTTTAAATAGACTAAAATGTATTATAAAAAAGAAATCTATTCATAGTCCATTGTCAATCTCTAGGAGATTTTCTTTCTCTGTCTTTTTTTTGTGAAATCGAAGTCTATGAAAAAAATAAAGTTCTACTAAAACAATCATTAAGAGAAGAATACTTTCATTCATAGATCGATTTCATTGAATAAAAATTTCTTTTTTTTTTTCAGGTCTGTTGCTGTTGATAAATTTCATTATAGATTACTCTATTCAACTTTATTTGGTGGTGTAACAGCTTTTAGTGTATCTGATTTTATGGGTGCTAATGGTTATCCAACAATTTATTGGGGTTGGGGTGGTGAAGATGATGATATGTATTTACGTGTTGTTAAAAAATTAAAAAAATCAATTACACGTTATCCTGTTAGTATAGCACGTTATAAAATGATACGTACACTTAATCATACATCAGGTAAACCTAATCCTGATCGTTATACAATACTTTATTCAAAATATAATTATGATCATGATGGATTAAATACAACAAATTATAAATTACATAATATAGTTTTTAATAAATTATATATATTAATTAATGTTACATTAAAAGAAGAATCATTTGAACAAATACGTATGCGTTTAAATATTAAAAAGAGAGAAACAAAAAAGCCAATACGAAAAAAGAAAGTATAAATCTGTGATTGTAGTTAATGGTATATTAGAATGTTATATTTTTATTTCTTTTGTTCTTCAATTTTTGTTTTTAAATGAATGAATGACATTATATTTGTTTTTTTTTCTGCTCATTTTATGTTTTTTTTAAACACTTTCTTGTTTGCTTCTCATCATTTCTGAATATAAATTGAGTGAAAATGAATTTTATACATTTTATTGTGACATTTTAGATTTACATATACATACATCCAGGGGTGGCGCGACCGGGGGGTAGTCGGGGGTGCGACACCCCCCCAATCTTCAAAAATTTCTGTTTTTTTGCTCAACAAAATCAGGAAATTTTCTTCCATTTGTCACCAAAAACAATGTTACACCCCCCGAAAAATTGCAGACTTCGTCTTTCTAGTCCAAAAAATTTCGCTACACCCCCCCCCCCAATGTTGGTTGACTCGCGCCACCCCTGCATACATCTATGAAAATCGACAACAAATTTATAAAAATTTTCAATATTAGAAACCAATATTCAATAAAACGACTTTATTCTTTTATTATTTATGTTAATTCTTCTATGTTAAAAAGTTTTGAATATTTTAAAGTCGGCAAAAATTACAAAAATTTTCGTTTCAGATTGCAACAGATTGAACAAAGAAAATGATCAATAAAAATTATTTTTATCAATCGATTTATCAAAACAAAAAACTAAAATCAATTTTGTCTCCAGAATCGTTTCAAAATGAGGACAATTTCTTTTAATGAAACAATATAAGTCGATATGAAAAAAAACAAAAGAAAATTCGAATTACCTAGACAAGAAAAACCCGAATTGAGATAGTATTTTTGGATTTTAAATAGTTCATTCTGTTTGCTGGAGTCCGCTCTTGCTAAAAATTTCACCGTAGAATCTATTCGGAAGTTTTCGGATTTTTTTTTCTCGTACGATTAGAGAAATATTCGCTAATTATTTAATAGTCAATTGAAAGAGTCAACAGTTTTACATATGTCCATGCTAAAAGAACGTATTCAAAAGAATAATCCTTATAAAAAATCAATGTCAAATGAAAGATGGATAAGTTACGTTTTTCATGAAATCACCTATATATGTTTCAGCAACCTCTATTCTTCAATATTTAAATAATCTCAACTCTTAAAGATTTATTTTTTCTCCATTAATTATAAATTCGTTTTTTTGCTCTTTCGCAATCTGGATGAAAGTAATATAGATTGTAATCTGAGTTGTAACGTTAGTAATCACCTTTATCTTTTATGAGAATAAATATTTCATCTATTCTTTTATTGCGTAGGTAGGAATTAGATGATCTGTACTTCTCTACCATTAAAACTAATTATATCACTATTAATCTTGACGTTGAACTTAAAAATAAAATAATTTACTTTTGATAATATAATCGCAACTGTCGTTAAGATGTGATTATCTCATCTAAAAATAATCCTATCAAATATTGTTGTTAATGTCTATCAGTTGAGTATGTTGTTGTTTTATTTTGAAGTAAAAAATAGTGGCACACACTAATGCTGAGAATTAACATGAATGAGTTTTCCCGGATTATGCTACTAATAAAAAGGAAAAGCCGTATTCTAGTGCGTTCAATCATTCTTCATAATTAAATAAAGCATTGGTTTGAAATGAATCATTATCATGTCAAACATCTACTACTAGTATGTTTGATAACGAGGAAAGATTGAAAATTTTAATAAGAAAGTTTTGCTTGAATTTGAGTAATGAAATTGAATTGAGAAAAGCTGAACAATGACTTAATATGAGCATAAATTATACTCATTTATCATTTAGGATACTAAAGAATGTTTCATAACGTTTGATGATATGATGATTTCATTTTATCTATTGTTAAAATTAATGTCCTGTAACCCTGTAGTTAACGAAACCTGAAACATAGGCTCGGATGCAGATTCACTGGATCAACTCACGTATTGGGTATAGAAAAAATTGTCAGATCGATCCGAATATGATCTTATACTCGGATATAAATATTAATACGAAAAAATAGTTCGATCATATCTTAATAGGAGCTAGGATTGGTACTTGATGGGCAGTCTCAGTAGCACATTTAAATCTGATATGTGAAATACAAACTCAATAAGATCATTTTACTCATCGACAAGCATTTGATTCATTCATATTCATGTGTGATTGCACATAATTTCTTTGTTTTGTTTTTCATTATTATTTATCTATCTGATTAAATCAAATATTTTTGAAGAAATAAAAGTTTTGAAATTGTACTATGACTGAAAAAATTTGTCGAGTCGAGTATGGATACGAAAAATTATGCTTGTGTACGGTACTAGTTAGAACTTCTGTATGGAATTTAAAGCAAAATGGCAAATAGATAATTGTATGAAACACCTATTACAAGTCTAATATAGATCTCAATTGTTTTTTAGAAAAATATTCCGATGGAAAGTCTAAATATGTGCAAGATGAATGCTCTTTCCATTTCCTAATCCGTAGAGTGATGTCACTACTTATGATCATATTCCGAGAACGCCATAGCAGAGAGGGGATGTAACCTCTTCCTCGATCCCAATAATTGAAAACTATTTCTTATTATCCAATAAGATTTTTTGTATATATCTCCCGAACATCTCCAATCTTGAGACCATTGCGCAGCTTTTGTGTCCATCTATTGAAAAAAGCAAATTAGAAGAATTTTTCAAGTCTATAATCAACAGTATTGACATGAACGGATGCGGCAGAAAACGCTCAAGTATGTAATGCTGATAGACTGTCTTAAAAAGTAAACTTCAAATAGATGCTTCAGTATTCCTTTTACGTGTGTCCTCTATCTGGGTAATATATGATTGGTTGTTTGCTATTTCTATAGCGGAGTTGGGGTAAAAAACTGTTTAAATACTGAAATTACATGAATTTTACCATTCATCATTTAGAATTAATATTTCTATTAATAAAATGATATCTAATAAATCTTCGGCATGTTCATCTGTAGCTGTTACTACTTCTAATGATCAACAAATTAGAAAAGTTTGTCTTTTTTTTCTTTAGAACTTATTTCTTTTTTAACAATAATCTTATTTTATAGAAAAAAAACATTTTAAAATCAAATGATAATATTCTAAAAAATACAAATAAAAAGAAACAACGTATAACAAAAATTCTATCAGATGAAGTTTGTTATTCTATATATATATATATATTGTTTAAAAACCAAATCTAGTTTATTATTATTGTTTTTAGACATCTTTGTCTAAACATCAAACTTCACAAGATATTCAAACATCAATTAATTCAATAGATATTGAACAAAAACAACAAAATTCATCAACTGATAATCTTATTATATTACTCACACAAGGACTACAAAGTAATGATTCAAATCTACTTGATGTAAGTAAATTCATACAATAATTTATCATGTAACAGAAATTTAAAATTTTTACAAATTTTTTCACAATATTTTCTTTTGTATATTTCGATGAAGTACGTATAGGATTGCTAATTTTTTCAAAGGAAATTTTAAACAAAAGATCAAATTTCAATAGAAAGTGATTTTGGATATTTAAATCAATGAAGATTTTCTTGTAAATCATAATTAGCAATTCGATACGTTATATAGAAGTGAACAAAAGAAAACATAGATACAAAGGAATTGTGGAAATTTTGAAATTCCGTCACCTGATAATGAATTCTCGCTGTATTTTTTTTTTAATTATCAGTATTCTGAATTGATGGTAAACTATTCTTGTTTTTACTTAAACGTTGTTGTTGTTGTTGTTGTTGTACTTGTGATGTATCAAATTCTTTTGCACCCTGTGCTTTAAGATAAGTAAATACATCTCGTGAACCTGTTTCACGTGCCCATTTAAGTGGTGAATGTCCTTGATAATCAGTTATATTAAGATTTGCACCACGATTTACAAGTAAACGAACAAGTTCAATATCATTATGTGCTGATGCAACATGTAATGGTGTCCAACCAGATGCATCTTTTGTATTTAATTCGACTTTATATTTTAATAAAAGACGAACAATATCTTGATGACCTTTTATAAATCAAAAAAAAAAAACAAAAAAAATTCGATGTATTTCTTTTAATTTTGTTTGTTTTTGTTTTTTTAAATATAACTTACCGAGATCAACAGCACGATGAAGAGCAGTAATACCATCATTATTAACAATATTTACATCAATATCATATTTAAGAAGTAATTCTATACATGATACAGCATGAACTTTAACAGCTTCATGCAAACATGTTTCTCCTAAAGAATCTTTATTATTAATAAAATCTTGTCGTATATCATTAGTAACATTAGCAAGAGCATTTTCAATTAAATATCTTACAACATTATATGATTGACTAGTAATAGCATAGTAAAGAACATTTCGTCCTTTATAATCTCGACGAAATACATGTGCACCTGATTCAATTAATAATTGACATATTATTTTATTTCCATAAAATGCAGCATACATTAATAATGTTACTCCTTGATCTATATCACATAAATTTGATAAACTAGCTGTTTGTTCTGGTGATGAACATGAACGTAATTGTCGTTGTAATTCTTCAGTATTATCCGTACATATTAATGTAAATAATTTATTAAATTTAGCTGATTGTGATTGACCCATTGAAATAAATAAAATCTAAATAAAAAGAAAAGAAAAAAAAAGATCTTTTTCTTCTATACATATATACATATATATATATATATATAATTTGTATTAAAGTATTGTTATATGTAATCATATGTATAATTATACGCTTGATTGATCCTTCATTTTTATATATCAAGGATTGAAATAAAGCAAAAAACCGTAGATACAATGAATCATCTTTTCTTTTCTTCGTAGGAGGAAGTATTGTGTTGTCGAAATGATAGAATTATTGAAAAAACGGTACGTACACTTCCTCATTCAATTCTTTTACCATTAATTGATTACTTAAACAAATATCTTTATCAAAGTGCAGAAAAGTAACAAAAAAATTTAATTTTCAATATTAAAAAAAAAAATAAAACAAAAAATATTTAATTATTATTTTAGAGGTCTTATTGCATCAAAATGGTTACGAGCTTTATTAAATACTCATTCATCATATCTTATGACAGTAAACAAGAAAAAAAAAGAAAAATATTTTTATATATAAAAAAATACCATAAAACTTTTTAGTATCCTGATATTACCGAACGTCTTGGTTCAATGTATGAACTACTTGAATCACATACGAAAATTTATCCAAAATTAGCTCGACTTCATGGAAAACTATTACTTATCTCTTCACAAGTAATATATATATAATTACGACTAATACATATCTATTGTCGTCAGTAGCATATTGACTAGATCAACTGAATATATCGATGAGTAATTTTAAATAACGATAAAAAGCAATTGGATATGCTTTCAGATGATATGCTCGTCATCGAGCAAATAAAAATACATCAAGCATAGCCAATCGATTATCAAAGAAATAATTGTTTAACAAAAAATAAGTTCTCTCTTTTAGTTCAAAATATATTAAAAAATAACTAAACTAATTATCCTATTCCAATCTATCATAGATAAAGGCATAACTACCTCTGAGACTTATCAAAATTAATGACATTAACACTATCATACCGTGTAGAAAGTTCAAGGACAATCCCTCTTTATATGTACTTATAGTACAATATATATTTTATCATTCTACAGTTGATATTATAATAGTAAAATTTCGATGAAAGTTATTCATTTTTATTTTAAATGGCTACGAAAATTTTACATTTCTATATAACAAAATATGCATTACACTTTCTATTCAATTGATAGGTACTCATGAAGAGATATGTTCTATTTTTAACGACTAGATTTCACCTTTGAAGAAAGCTGAAAGATGATCTAAGTGATTTCGCGACAAAGCACAACTTTATAGATCTGTAATCGGAACAAAATCTGAAAATATCGAACAAGTTTATTAGGTTATTAATGATGATTCCAACATTATAACTGGTCTGAGTCATGCCTAAAAAATGATGAAAATATACAACACTGTTTAGACTATCAATATAAAGAGAAAATTTTCCTCTACCTATCTATACGGTATTATAGTACGAGGATCATAACTTTTGGTGCGCCTTCAGTATCTATTTCTCTACCTCTGAATATTCAAAAAACGATTTAAATTCATTTTTTGTTTATTTTATTTCATAGAGCTATCAAAAAATATTAAACATGATGAAGCTAATTCCGTACTAAAACATTGTTTAAAAAATAATCATTCTTTTCTTGATTATTAAACTAACGAGAACGGGTCGCGGGTTTTGAGATGAAATGTTCCTTCATTTTTCAACCCGTTAAGATGATTAGTAAAAGCTATAAAATTAATATTTTCTGCACTTTCTGAGTGTAGATTCAGAATTTTTATGAGACTCATATTTTTCGAGTTATGAGCAAATCTATGGAAAGTCTAAAAAGAATACAAAACAAAGTGGATAGGATAGAAATAAAATTAAAAATTTTCACAAAAGGTACAGTGACATACTTGTGACTCCTTGTTTTTCATACTCACAAAACGTACTCGCTGATTATTCCTGAAGAGAATTGCTTCAAAAACTTTAATTCTTAAAGCATTTTCTAGAGCATAATCTTGCTCGTCATACTGTGTAAAAATTGAACTTCATTTACTGAGAAGAACATCTATTCTCTAGGTACTAATCCAAAAACTTTTCAAAACACGATATGGCCAAACGAAATGAAACTTAAGCAAAATCGACATTTCTACGCCAAAAATATGAAATTGCTAAAAAACATCATGGAAATAATTTCAAATGGAATACGTTCGTATTCTCTGTGTCTATGGATCTTTTAGTTGCAACTGTCTTCATCCAAATTTTATGTTTATACTTTTCAAAGACTTTCTTATAACTTCAATAGGAGTTTCGAATCTGTATTCCGAAAGAGCATAAATTTCTGATTTTAAGCCGACATTCTATATCTTCTCCTGATCATTTTAATCGGTCAAAGAAATGAACAAACACTTTATATGAAAATATTCGGTCTATCCGTTTGATAAAATTTTAGACAATTTTCCAAAACTATAAAAAAAAAGCTGTTAGGTGTAATCCCTACAGAAATAAAAGAATAATAAGCCATACAAAAAAGGTTTATTAACCTTGTAAGTTCTTCAAGGGTTTATTATCTTCATGACTGTACAAAATTTTACAAAAATGCAATGTATAAGAATCCCTTGAGGGATTTACTATTTTACGTTTGTTTTCACAGTTACGAGTCGTTTCTAACATGTTTTTTAGGATCTGTGACATTTCCATAGTAACATCTGTCCGGGTCTGGAAGAGATATGGATGCAAGTTTCTATTTCAAGTTTGACATGCACACACGTCAAGATGTTTTCATAGGACTTGAATGCTTGCCTGAGTTATGTACACATTTAAAGAAGTTCATATTGTACGTGAAACAATCAACGGGAATAAAATATTAAAAGCTTTTCTGCTCAAGATGAAATAATACTTCTTGCCATTGACGATGTCTGAATCTACTTACTTATGCCAACTCTATTTTTGACCTATCTATTACAGACTTTATTATTTAAGCTATTAGAAGTCGAATCATTTTGAATGTAAAACTGAAGAAAGAAAAAACGAAAAACACATATAACTAAAACTAGTTTCATGTACCACAAATATAGTTATGATGAATGGCTGGATCCAATGGAGTATTACTATGACTAGCTTGTGATGAGAGTAGACTTTTGCTGTTAATCTCTGTGCAACTCGTAATATTTCGTTTGCACTTGAACAAGAAGTTGAAGGACGTAAACTTATCAAAAGGCATCAACTCTTATCTCAAGATACTCAAGGATTTTATAAGCATGAAAAAAAAAAGTTCGACTAAGATTCCTTTCAAGTCATGTTTCACAAAAAACAACAATGTTTAATTTCATTCAATTTTCCATCTAGATTAATAATCATAACAAAGAATTGTCAAATAATGATGATAAACTCTCATCAAAACCATCATTAATTTTCGAAGGTAAATTTTTTTAATTAGAAATTTTTAATTCTGATTTTTCTTTTTTTTTTGTTTTGTAAAAGATGTATCCGATGAAGATATTGATGGTGATCAAACTCAAGATGAACTTATACCAAGTCCATCAGAATATGATGATTATTCTGGTTTATCTGATGATCTTGATCTTGGTATTGAAAATGATGATAATGAAGATGAAATTGAAGAAATAAACGAAAGTGATACTGATGTAAATTCTTTTTTTTTGTATCAACAATAAAAAAAAAACTTTTCTTTTTTTTGCATTAGATTCACTTCCAACATGATGGTTATTTAAAAGATGATGATGATAATGATTCATCCTAATTCTTGTTTTGTATTATTATCGAAATTTTTAATAAGAAAAAAAAAGATTTATTTTTCTGTGAATTTTATTTCTTGGTTTTTTTTTAAATCAACTGTAAAGAATAATATCATGCTGGAATAAAAAATGTATATACATAATGCAGGTTTAATTTTAACGACGAGAAGTTAAGTTACGAATCTAGAAAATAATATCATATGATTGATTGTAAGAAGAACAAGAAGAAGATTTTATTTACATACCACTGAAAAAAGTCCATTGACTATTTGGGCTGTATCCGATAGAGAGTTTGATACCTAAATTCGAATTAAAATTTAATTTAGAATATAAAAGAACAATGTTTTACCGAATTTTGAAGTGAACCAAGAGTTTGAAAATCATTTAAACGTCTTTCTAAAAAGTTCATTGAATCAGTTTTATTTTGTGATTGATCTTGAAGCATATAAATTTCTGCACTTTTATAAACTGCAGCAAGTAAAAGTCGTTTTGAATACCAATTCATCTATATCAATAAAACAACAGAACAATAGTAACATCAAATAAACATTTAAATATCATCATTTACATCTGTTGATGTATCACCAATACCATGCCAAGCTTCACTTGATAAATCTAATAAATTTTTCCAACTACGCATTGCATTTTGAGGTAATGCTCCTTGTGCTAATGCCTATCAAACAGAATAATTAAAAATCAATTAATTAAGAAGTCATAATGAAGGTCCCCTCAAAAATCGATCTCAGACCAGAAATATCCAAATTGCATGAAACTTTCAGAATATGTTGAAACTGGTGTAGGAAGGCTATGGTAAAATTTTCAGCCTTATATCATGACGTTTGACAAAGATATTCATCAAATAAGGGTCAAAAATAGCTCTATCGTATCTCCAGGATTTCTCTGTGGGTCTTAAATTTTTGTTTGTTTGAAAGCTTGTGTCTATGGCTAGCCTATCTCGTGACTGTTTTTTTTTTAATTCTTATTTTTTAAGCGAAGAAAAGGAATGGCAAGTTCAATGACTCAAAAACCTCGTAAAAAAGGCGCTGTTTCTATTGAGGTGTTTTCTTATATGAGTTATTGACTACAATGAAGCTCCTTCGAGAATTCTTGGAGATACGATCAAAAATGAAAAAGATTTTTGTTTTTTTTCTGAAAACAGTTTATTTTTCGAATAGGAAATGACGGAAATCTTCGAAAATTTTTATCATTTATGAGAGATCAAATCATGGGCTATCTTCCCGTGTACTTATCTTAATTTTGTTCATTCTGACGAAAAGTGATTTTATTTTCAGAGAGCTTTAATAAAACATTCATAGGTATCCGCCTCCTTTTGAGCTGATATTTTGTTTGGTGAAGGAGAAAACGAGACTAGGACTATCTTGCCCATATCTATTTAGAACACAAGAATCAAGGCAATTTGACATGCCACACAAATTTTATACAATCACGAAAGATATCGCTCTCAATGAAAAAGTGTTGGTCCTAGTCCTGAAAGCATCTTGATTTTATCTAATTTAAACATGAATTCTTCGTTGATGAATTTTAATCGCAAACAATACGCAGGATGTGATAAGAAGTTAGAAGATCGACCTAGTCTTTTTTAATTAAAACACGGATATTTTAGAATTAGTAAGAAGTGTCATATAGCGTTTGGCTCTCTCATTCGAAAGTTTAAAGTTGTCTCTATTATCAATAAAAATTTCATACCAAATGATTATAGTTTATCTGGAAATATTCTACACTGAGTTCTTTGTTGTAATGAAATACTCCCTGAAAATATCATGATTATAACAAATCGTTCCAAATAATGGAAATATCACTACTCTTCAAGATTCCATCAGATTGGAGTCTCTCGTTATTGTCAGTAATAAAAACAAAAACAATTCTCTATTTAACTATCAGCTATTTATTAGATTAAATATATAATGTACCTGATTCCATGTATTAGCATAAGGTACAACAAGGCCAAGTCGATATTTAAGACCTTCAACAAGTAAACGACTTCCTTTCATATCTCCTCTAGATATAACAAAAAACAAATAATTTTGAATAATTTATTTTCTTTCATAATCTTACTTCTGTTTTTGTTCATTCATATAAGCTGACATTTTAGAATTTGCATCACGCATGAAATAATCAATAAGATCATAACCATTACTAAACATTCCTTCAATTGTTGTTGATTGATTACTAGCACGTATACCTATATTAATTACAAATTGATAAAAAAAAAATATATGTTAGCGTTTAAACTAAGATTACATCTAATCTCAGATATAAGATTCATCTCGATCAATGCGAGACTAAATATAATCTTAATTTAAATGCTAACGTATACTTCAAAAAACAACTACGAACCAGCTCGAATAGCCTCTATTGTCCAACCATGTTCATTAACATATTTCAATGATTCACGTAATACATCATCACGTAAATCACTTTCACGTTGAATAGGAATTTCATTGGTAGTACTATATAAAAAAGTAATTCAAAGATTTTTGTTTTTTTTTTATTATGCAATAACTGCGATTCTAACAGTACCAGAAATAAGAAAAGAGAGAAAAAAAAATGAAATAAAAGGTACACAGAAGATACAAAAAGAAGCAAAGATTGTACATGTAACAATGCAGAGGAAACAAAAAGGATGATGAGAAAACTACATTCAAGATGAATACAGAACACAAAGTAGAAAATAAACAAAAGAAAAAAGAAACGGACACACGTACAGAACAGGGTGTACACGAGATTTTTGTTGTTTTTTTTCTTAATACAATGTGAAAATTTCTTACCTTGTTTTATCATTTTTTTTCGTAGCAAATGGATCTTCTTTTGGGTGTGTTTTTGATGATGCTGATGTATCTTGACCACCAAATACTTTCGATTTCTTTGTAGTTTCATATACTGTTTGATCTGGATTTATTGGTGGAATACTACTTTCAAATTGTGCTGTTGGTGATGATGTACTTGAATGAACATCTGTTGAAGAAATTTTTGGTGCAAATACAGTATCTGTTGTTGATGGTGTTGTTAACGGTGCATTTGGTGCAAATGGTTCAAAAGCTGAAGCAGCAGCAGCTTCAGCTAATTCAGCTGATGTTGATTCAGGTTGTAAAACATGTGTTCGAAGTGGATCAGCAATATTTAATTCACCTTGTTTTTTATGAACTGTTGTTTCATGAATTGTTTTACCACCTTCAGTTGATGTTGGAACAAATGTCGTTGTAGCAGCACCTAATGGAGCAACATGTACTGAACCTGAATTTTGAACAGACCTTGAAAAACAAAATTTTATACAAGTTCATTTTAAAGATTAATATTTGAATAATTTACCAAACTTTTCCACCACCAGTTAATGTTGCTGTACCTTTCGATGCTGAATCAATTGTTTCTCTTGGTTGTCCACCTACAAGGTCATCAGGTACATGTGTTTTTTCCTTAGCTGTTGATGGTTTAAAAAGTTCTGTATTAAAATTAATATCCTTCCCATCTTTATTAGTATTTGATAAACATCGTTTTAATAATAAAATATTTATATTTGAAACAGTTGAAGGATTATTATTTGAATAACACAAATCAACAACTCGATGTAATCGGGATGTTCCATCTAAATAATAGAAAAATAATAAATCAAAAAAAAATAGAAAAATCTTTTAACTAGAAATTAATACAAACTGCGAAGATATAGTAGACGTTGCATGATTATTAGAAGTAAGACTTTCTTAATATGAAATGAGGTCGAACAGTATATATACACAATGTATCAAGATGTCGCGACAATCAACGTAAAAAAAAAACATTTAAGAAATAATTTAGAAAATAAAAAATTCAAAATTCTAATGATTTAAATATTAAAAAAATAAAAATTTTTATTTGATTTCTTTTCATATAATTCAAAGTGGCGCAATTCAATATTGTTATTGATCAATTAAAATAACCGTTTAGAAATCAGCTTACTTTATTACTTATCTACCAACCAACTACCTTGCCATTATGTGATATGTTTGTTTATTCTTAGTATTATATGTTCCAGACAAAAGATTGATGGCATCATCAACAAAAGATACTGAATTATGTTCATTTGATGTACCAGAAACAGCACGTCATCCAAGTGGTCCTACAATTTATAAAATTGTATTACAAGTAACACCAAAAGAATTAACAGAAAATAGTTATCAAGTATGTATGAATCAACATAGTTAAAAAAAAGAAACCTTAAAAAATCTTATTTAAAAACGAAAAAATTAAGAATGTGTAACATGTAATAATTATATTGTATTACATAATAAAATTTCTCTATCGATTACATTTGTTTATATCTACAGTGAACCACAAAAGTTTAAGACACTTTTATTTTTGAAGTTTTTCATCGAATATGAGTAGCACTAGGTCAAATTCAAATAGTGATTTGGATAGCTCTTGAAATTCCCTATTAAATAGAATATATGTCAAATTTTCAAAAGAAATTTTGTCAGAAGAGTTTTACAGTAAACTGTGTTAGGAGAATTTTAACAGAAAGATTTTTCAATATAAGCATCTGAAAGAGCAAAAAATTCTGAAGAAAATGAAGGGTCGCCCAGCTCTCCGTCACAAAGTTATAAGCATTAGAAAAAATGCAGTTTTAATCGAATTTTAAGGCTTTTTTCGATAAAAATCGCGTTTTTTCTAATGCTTATAACCTTATGACGAAATATCATACAGAGCTGGGTGATCCTTCATTTTCTTCAAAATTTTTTGTTTTTTCCAATGCTTATATTGAAAAATCTTCCTGGCACGGTTTTCTGTAAAACTCTCTTCACAAATTTTCTTTTGACAATTTGACACATTCTATTCGATAAGGAATTTCAAGAACTATCCAAATCACTATTTGGATTTGACCTAGTGCTACTCATCTTGCTTGAGTATGCAGACACGTATATTTTTATACTTTCATATTTTTTTTTCTTGTATATTATACTTGCAAGTAAATTGCTTTTTATAAAAAACATCATATAAAATTTAGTTTGAAATCTTTTCTTGTGCATTTTTAGTTTAATGATATCTTTAACAGATATGATGGACGTATTGAAATTATTATACAATCTTGAAAAGACAATATTTGTTGTATGATATTAGAAAATCGAATGTTCGAATAATGTTTTTTTATATATGAAATGATACTCTAAATATCTTATGTAAATCGTTTGAACGATGAAAGAGATATTCATGTTTCTTTTTTGACCGAACTTTTGGAATATCCTGTAGAAAGATGAAAACCTACTTATCATGAATTTTTTTTTTTGAAAAACGAGTCATTTCGGGAGATGATATATTTTTAGACAATTACAAATGTGATCAGTTTCATATTGAAATTAGCTCTTTCATTTCCAGGTTCGTGTCGGTATCATTGGTTCTGATTCCGATTCGAAATCATCCATTTCTATTGTTAAAGCCTCGTTCAGATGAAAGTTACAAGTTTCTATATTTTATCAATAAGAAACTATTTTAAAACAGCCGTAAAATACTTTTTCGCTGTTTATGAGTTCTAATAAAACGTTTATTATGAAGATCGTATTACTAATGCGTTTATATCGAAAATAAAATAATTTCAGAAACAATGTTACTACGAGTAGATTCAAAATGATCGAAGTCATTATAAAAAAAGCTACTTTTATGAAATATGATATAAAAGAAGTGCTGAAGTACACAGTAGAAATTTGTAATTTCCCCTCTCAAAAGTAGTGACAGTTGTCATACTAATATTTCCCTCCTTGTCGTCACAGATGTTATTATTATATGATCAATAACGTCTCGTTAAAATATATGACCTACTTCTTTATTGCATTTCAAGAAAATTAAATAAAACGATGGTGAAGAAATGGATTCGAAAATAGATAGAATAAAACAATTTCCTTGTAATTAACAAGAGTAACTATGTCATGTTTCACATTTTAATTTAGCAAAGATTGAACTAACAATTTTCATATTTGTAATCAAGAAATTTTTTAAAAACTATTCTGTATAAAATAGATTTTATTCACTTTTTTCGAAAAAACAACACAGTTTTCAACTGCTAAATCTTAGTCAATGGGGTTTAATTCTGTTTTTCTATGAATGAGTTTAAAATTACGGAGTAATAGATTAAGTTAATGATTGTCTTATAATCTTATTATTTATGAATTATATAGCTTGTATATTGGAAGCGATATAATGATATTCGAAAATTGTACGATGCTCTTCATCGTTATCATCAAGCTATTTATCGTCCCGGTAAATTTCCTGATTTTCCAGAAAAATCACGATTTATAGGTATTCATTGATATACATAAAGAAAAAACGACAAAATTCTAATAAATATTTGTTTTTTTAGAACGTTTTGATGCAGCTATTGTTGAAGAAAGACGTATTGCTACGAAAAATTTTCTTAATTATGCTTTACAACATTTATATTTACGTACACATGATGCTTATTTAAATTTTTTTCAGGTTAATTATATAAATTTTTTTTTATTTATTATTCAATTATTTATTTATATTGATACAGTTTAGAAAGGTGAAAAAGTTCTATTACCTGATGTCGAAACAGCTACATTACAACCTGAAATAGTTAATACACAACCACAAACATCTACTGATATTATTCCAAATCCAATAAATGAATCAGTAATAGAATCAAAACAAGATGAACTTTTATTTACAAATGATGAAAAAGAACAAATAGAACATGTAGCTAATACATGTGCTCAAATACTTGAAGATTTGAATGATCTTCAATTTGATCAACAAGAACAAATAAATAAAGAAAGAGAAGAATTTGATTTAATTCAAGAAGAAGTTAATGAAGTAGCAGGTAAATAACCACATAGTTTTTCTGTTTTTTTTTATAAACTTTGTTTCAATCGTAAATACAAAGTTTTATTCGAGTACTAAGCCTTTTTATTGACCTAACAAGAACATGAGTAACATATGTCGAATAATAGACACAATGTTCCCAATATGTTAACAAAATATATAAAATAATCGACCGTAGTACATTATAAAACATACAATAGAGATGAATACAGGAAGATATCTGCAATTAAAATATATTTTTTGAGTGCAACTCGGATTATGTAATATGTAGCATATATAACAATTGTTGAATGATAGAGATGTACGAGGAAGGTTTTTTTTCGTCCAAAACAATTTTAGTGAAATGTTTATTTGTCTAGAAAACTAACATATTAAGACTTAAGAGGATATCTTATAGTCATATTCGAGATCAGCATGATCGATAACTCATAATAAGTACCTTTCGGATGAGAAAGCTATTAATCAGTTGAAAACATTTTCTCGTATTTACTCTACTGATCTACGCTACAGGATAGGGTAGACTGCTCTACACATGTCTGTTGAATGGTGCTAACAATATTCTTTATTCTGTTCGCAGAAAAACAGTAAGATGCAAAATTTATTTTTCATACATGGCTAGATGGAGCTCGACAAAATTTTTCGAGAGTCCTGAGTGGTCCATGTTTTTCTAAAAGTACCTTTTTCATATAAAAAAAACTGATATATTTAGATTCGCCATGAAGAATTGAGTCTGTGAAACTAATTTTTGGTGCTATTCAAGTATGTTATTACTAACAAGAGCCCGTGCATACTGCACGGATGCTTTTTTTCTGTAAAGTTTCACATCTGTCCTTTAGCCTAGATTTGGTAATAGACAATCAGACAGTTCGCATTATATATAGAGAGAGACCTCATAGCGTTATCCCATATATCTCATGCAACCTCATCTACTTATTCACTACACCCTTATCTCCTTATACTCTTTTAGCTTTATCGTTAATCCCTCTGTAGCTTTAGCCTCATATTCCTGTATATGGGTACGTCCATATAATAGCTCTTGAGGACCTATGAGTACCTTCATATAACAGCTCTTATGAGCCTATAAGTTCTGCATATAATAGTCCACGAGGACCTATGGATACCCCCATATAATAGCTCATGAGGACCTATGAGTCCCCAGTGGCATTTGGCGCCTTCCTCTTATAGCCTTATTTGACTTTTGATCTTTAACCCGGCATAGAGAAGCAGACACAAACTGAACATTATATATGTAGATTATAAAATCACGTTTCAACCAGTTGGTGAATATTTGTTGCAAAGCTACTTAGTTTTCTGTATATAACTGGAATCGCCAGACATTTTCCTTAAAAAGTATAGCTTTAGTTTTTCAAAAGATTACTTTGTTGGAGGACAAAAATCATTCAACTCTGCTTTATGACCTCTAAAATATGAAATTCTGCTAGTAATACGAGGTTTGCTTTACTGGAACTCGGTAATTTTTCGATAAAAATGATAGATTCAGAATTAGCACGAAAAACTGAGTCGATTTAGGTATATTTCAAAGTATCCGCTTGATTTTAATTTTTTTCATGAAAATCTCTGGGATCAGAAATCGTCAAAAAAATCAAAATTTTCAGAAAAAAGAGAAAACCATTCTATTCGACATAGTTTTCCATGCTGATTTTGAATCTATCATTTTTATCGAAAAATTGTCGAGTTTCAGTGAAGAAAATCTTGTATTATTGATAGAATTTTATATTCTAAGGGTCATGAACCAGAGTTGAACGGTTTTTTTTTTCTCCAACAAAGTATTCTTTTGAAAAACAGAAGCTATACTTTTAAAGCGCAATATCTAACGATTCCAATCATATAGAAAAAAAAATTAGATAGCTTTGCAAGTAATATTCACCAACTAATTGTTGAAACATCATTTTATAATGTTAACATACTTGAATAGTATCAAAAATTAGTCTCACAGAATCAGTTTTTCATAGCGAATTTAAATATATGCGTTTTTTAATGTTAAAAAGATATTTTCAGACAAACCTATACTTGAAAGTATTAAGTGAGATCTGATTTCAAAGAAACACTAGGTAAAATGACAATTCTATTGATTAGAATGTAATATGAAAATATTATCGATTATTTGATCTGAAGGAATTCTCGATGAGTAATCGAAGGACAATTGTTTGTAAAAATCATATAGTTTTGAACTTTAATTGAATAAAATGTCTCTTTTTTTCGGCTTTAGATTTACTTTCATTACCATTGGCAACAACTACAAATAACAATAATTTATCTTAATTGACTTTTCATTTTATTTTGTTAATTTTGTTTTTCATTTATCAAATATTTGATCATTCGAGATAAAAACAATTATCAATGACATGCCAATGTCACAGCTGTTATTATATTATTATATTTTATCAAGTAGAAACATTCAATTCATGGATTTTTTTTCTGATGAGAAGCTACTCCCAATGATACTCGCTATTTTAGCTCATAGTGAGGGTAGAAAGGAGATCTCTGTGAGACTAGCAAAAGCTTAAAAGATTTCATTCTTATGAGCTTTTGGCATGGAGTTATGATGAGTTTACTGGACTTTCAACTCATTTGGAAGTACTTTCTAAAAAATCAAATAACAAAGTTCCGATCTAAAATTTTGCCTATAGAGACATCTAATGATTTCTAGAATATCGTGAAAGTTTCAGCCGAAAGGAATGTTTATTCATCAAGATATTGAATTTTCAAAAATAAACCTTTGTTACAGATATGACACAAAAATTGATTTCACTTGAAAACCATTATTTGATTTTTCGCGAAGTACCTACGAACAAGTCGAAAATCCAGTAAATTCATCATAACTCGGTATTAAAGGCTCATAGGAACAAATCCTTTTAAGCGTCTACTGACAGCTTCTTCTCAGTCTGATCTGAGCTGAAACGGCAGATGTTAGCAGGAGTAGTTCTTCCGTAAATACTTCTTATTCGAATGATCCATCGAAATCAAAACAAGTTGTTTTTTTTAATTCCAGATCTACCCACCGTTAATCTTTCAGTAAAAAAAATAATAATCTTTTCAATGTTATCTTCTCTGCGTCGACAAATTAATTTAAAAGATCTATTTCCAACTCGATGGAGTTTCGTTATTTTTATTTCGTATATGGGCTTATTTATAAATCAAGGTAAGTTATATACAGGAAGTATCAAAATTATTCAAATAGAGAAAAAGATTTCTAACAAGAATATAAAGAAATAAAAATTATTATCAAATTTACAAAGAAGGAAATTTAAGAAAACTAAAGCCGTAGGTTTTCAACATCTAGAACGCGTAAATATAATTTTCTTTGTACTATATCGGACGATAGAGTAAACCATTGTCTAAAGAATGAGACATTGTCGAGTGAATCACTATATGAATTTTTTCTAGCAGAAAAAAATTGAAAATAAACCTTGTTAAATAATTTTGATAATCATTATATATAAGTTAATATTTATTGTTAAAATTTTTGTTTTTTTTTTCAATAGGTTTATTAGTTACTGGATCAAAAACATCGACACATTCATATAATTATAATACAATTGTTGTTGTTTTACTTACGGAATTTGTCAAATTTATAACTGCTTTAACAATTTATCGACAAACGTAAATATTTATTTGGAAATATCAATTAAAATTATGAATTTCTTTTTTTTTGTCGTTTTGGTTTTGCTAGTCATTCATTCAGTCAGATGAAAAAAGAAATTGTGGATAATCAAAGAGGTAAAAACAGATAAAAAGTAAGGTTATTTAATCAGTATATTGAGTTTAAAAAAAAACAAGAAGTTCTTTGTATTTTGAAAATATGTGCAGAAACGATATAATTTTTGATTGAACTTTTCATAATTCTATCAAGAAGGAACGAAGACGTAGGTAATGCATGAATATTTATGATAAATGAATAATTTGGGAGAGGATATTTAATGATTATTTATTAATCTTGCTAAATATTTATTTAACAAATTAAATATTTAAAAAAAAGTTCGTTAATAACTTTCATTTCAAATAATTTATCGTTTATATTTTTCAATGAAGACTTGGCAAATGATTAGTTCAAGATTACATTTAGATTTTCAATTAAAAATCATAATCAAAGTACACTAATCTGCATGCTATGAGTCTACTAATTATATATGAATATTGAAAGCATTTGAAAATCATTACATATTTAGAATATCTAATTATTATTGATTATTCAGTGTTAAAATAGATATTTAAAGTGCTGAATCATTATATTGCTTTATGATTTAAGTCTCTATTTGATAACCAGCAAATACACACTTCAATGCTTCTATAGATTAGTCGACACTTGGAAGAAGGAGAGAGAGAGGGGGGGGGGGGGGGGAAGTATGTGTTCAATCATTTTCTAGTTCATCCACCAAAAATGATTTACACTTTACGTTTACTCTTATTCCGTGAGACAATAGGCACATCTTTTCAGACTCAGTTTATATATATCTTATACAATTAATATATTTCCATTTTAATTTACAAATCTCAAGAAAAATCTAGTTCCATTTAATAATAAAATGAATTCAATTATATTTATTAATGAAATATATTTATTAAAAATTATTTTTTCTTTAGTATTAATTCTTTATTTTATTCCATCGGCATTATATTGTTTATATAATAATTTGGCATTTATAAATTTATCATCTTATGATCCAACAACATATTTTTTACTTCTTCAATTTCGTGTTGTTGTAACAGGAATTATATTTCAAGTAAAAATTATTTAATTTTATTATATTTCTTCTTTTAGTTTTAATTTTAATTTAGTTTCTTTTTAATAAACGTTTAACACGTCTTCAATGGTTATCACTTTTTCTTCTCGCATCAGGTTGTATTATAAAACAATTTGAACATTCATCATTATCTTCATCATCATCTATTAAAATTTCAAATATAAATTCAACATTATCTCGATTAAATCAACACATTATTTCGACAAAACATCATTCATTAGTTAATATACATCTCATATGGATTCTTGTTCAAGTATTTTGTTCTTGTTTTGCTGGTGTTTATAATGAATATTTATTGAAAAGTGATCGAACAACTCAAGTTGATACAATGTTACAAAATTCTTTTATGTATATTAATTCAATTATATGTAATTTAATATTATTAATTTATTTTGATTATCAACAACCAACATTATCATCAATTGATAAATTTTTTAATACATTAAATTTAATATTATCAGGAAAACAATATTTGATATTACTTATTATAATTAATAATGCTGCTGTTGGAATTGTAACATCATTATTTCTTAAATCAATGACATCAATATTAAAAACATTTGCTAGTGCTTTAGAATTACTTTTTACAAGTATACTTGCTTGGATATTTTTTAATATACCTGTTAGTATATATACATTTATTGCGATATTTATTGTTTCAACTGCTGTTTATTTATATTCAATAAATCCTGTTGTTAATTTACCAAAAACTACTACAACAAATGTTCTAACAAATTCATCAATTCATATTAATAATGATGATATGAATTCAAAAAAATTGAATATTGGAAATGAACAAGAACGACGTTTAATTGTTTAAATTATATATTTTTTTATTTTTATTGAAATTTTTCTCTTTTGTTTTACTTGTTTTCTTTTGTTTTCTTTTTTTATTATTATATACAATGGCATTTTTATCTCATGTTATTAGGACAATATTTAATAATTACATTTTATTGAAGAAAGTCAAAAAGAAATGATGTTTTGATTTAAGTATTTGAAAAGAATAAAATCTATTTATGATATCAAAAGATTTTCTATGATGATTATTAAAGAAGTCATTAACTTTGTATTTTCTATTTGTTTTGTTATGATCTACATCAGAATTTTATTTGCATTGGGTTATAATAAATTGACTGATGTTGAACTTCATATAAAACAAACACCAATTCTAGATAAGATAATAATTTCATTCTTTTTAGTATAGAGAGAGCTCGTATAGATTGACCAAAAAGGATACTTAATCTACGAAAAGTTTCGCTTTGATTAACCAAAAAATATCTTCTACTGCAAGTCGGGTTGGATCATAAAAAACTTACTCATATTCATGGACTCTAGTCTATATTTGAATGTAGTTCCCGTCTAAAATATAAATTCAAAAATATCTTGATGATTCAATTTAATTGTAAAGAAACTATAGTATAATATTACTAAAATATCTACAAAATAGAGTTACACAAAATTCTCCAATAGGACTCTTATCATTGGCGAATGTTCACCAAAATTTACATTTGAGGTGACTGAAGTTTAGAGAATGAATATTATCATTTTTTTTAGTGCTGTAAACTTTAAATAGAAATATGATAAATCTTAATAAATAATAATGATTTTCAACTGAAGAATATTTGAATGGTTGTTTTTCGCACAGGTAATTCAGTTATTTCTAACATTCGTATTCGACATTTACCATCAGCATTAGTTTGAATTATTCGGTATCTATTATGAAATAATAACAAAAATTAATGAATAGTAATTTTATGCATATTCATTGTTTAAAATGAAAAGTAAAGAAACTAAAATTAGTCATCAATCAACTCAAAACTTGCTTGAATCGATAAGAGACACATTCAACTGAATAGATCTCATTTCGAAAAAAAAAATTGAACGAGCAGTCATGCATTGACCAGCATTGATATTATGCAGGTATCGAACAATATAATTGTTAACCTCATTGGTGAAGTAATGGACTGCAAATACAAACTTTCCACACTAGTTTATTTTTGACTTGTTTATATACCATTTGATAGAGCTTTGTAAAATGATCAAGAATACATAATTTTTAACCTTGCTAGAGTGTGAGTGTAAATATTGCTTTGGATCTTCTCTTAGTAGATACCTACACACACATCCTACGATCTACTGAGGTACTTTCGCTCGCACGTTATGCGACTTTCACAATTTTGAAATCACTTTTGCTATCAGCAGTAGCAGGATTCATGGTTGAAAAAATGTTTTCTTTTATTATCATTTATCCTCTATCATAATGATACATCATTTTCTCTCCTTTCTATCGTGAATTTCCACGCGACAAGAACGAACAAAGTTACTTGTTTTCTTTTGAAAGCCGTTATCGTTGGCATATTTTGTTTTTTATCTATATGTAGAAGGTTGGATGTGGATGAAGAAAGAACTGACACTCATACTTCCATACCTCACACAACCACCGACATTCTTTTTTCTCTGACTTATGTTTTACTTGGTATGTCTAATGTTTTGTCTTCTTTTGTAGTAGTAGATTGTTCTAAATAGAGTTGATACTGAGATATTTTATGTCACATTGATGCTACAATTCCAATGTAAAACAAACACATGTCAAGTTTCGTTTAAGTGTTAGCATTTTGCCAGAAGAAGATAATTGTTTTGCTTAACAAAGAACTTGCCTATGAATGAATGTACTGCACAAATACGTGCCAGTATTAACTCGATTCTCCATAGTCGATAACATCTAGCATACTATTATCCATTTATTCTGCGTACCATTTTATTAAGAAAGAAAATAGAATTTTACTGCCAAACTTAATTTTGCGTTTTTCTTAAAATCAGTTTTTCGGGTTTCTCCTATTCATGTGTCTAAGATCTCTCAACTGCTTTAGAAGCTAGAAAGCTCGAGAAAGTTTTTAATTGAAGAGAAAATTATGCCTGTAACATGAAAGAGTGGAGTTTTTCATTTTCGATTCCTTGAGAAGAATGAATTTTTTTCCATAGGAGTAACCCTCATTTTTCAGAATTTTTAAGTGAAACTTTCACAAGAAGTAAAGAACAAAAATTTTGCAAAATCAGATGGCAGTATGTGTGTGTAGAGTGAAGAGAAGACACCCACACCCAACTACAAACTTTCGAAAGCGGATCAAAGGTTGCAAATATAGTGAGAAAGGTATGTTTTGTGGCATATTAATGATAATAGGGATGGCAAAAATATCAGTCAGTCGCACTAGTTACCTCTTCTATTCTGTCACTGATACACGTTATTCATTGGAGAGAATTTATATATATATACATTCATTATGTGATACAACAGAACGAAAGAAAAGGAATACACAAATTTCCTCTCCAATGGATAACGTGCATCAGTGACAGAATGAAAAAAGTGACCAGTGTTAGTGAGTGAGTGAATCAATGACGGCTATTTTTTTATCCATAATATTGAAATTTTTCGTTTGTTGAAGGTCATCTGGGACAGGTATTACGTTACTTAAAAGAACTAGAGAACGAATCTGATACATAACTTTTTAACGATTGGATAAAATTATTGCCAATTTTGTCTGGTGAAAGTATGCACGTAAGTTAAACAGCTTCTTACGGTACAATTTTAGACTCCCTCTCTCTCTTATAGGACAACCAACAAGCAATAAAAATGGAGACATTGTGTTCATTATTAATTGGAAAAGAAGGTAATATGAGTTATAATTATATCGGACGATTCACGGACCTCACTAAGGAGGAACTACGCATGAACGGTGAGGGTCAAGCTTATATGGGAAACGGAAGATTAAATGTTTTTCATTCTATGTGATCATTTAGCCAAACTAATGAACGAATATCTAGCTGAACCTATCGTAGACAATGGATTAGTAAGAACTAAACGCCAAATTAGAAGTAAGAATTACTATTTATTGATCGATTTTAACATGATCATGATAATTTAAACCATCCAGATGCAAAAGTACACAAAACTTTATTAAAAACTAAGATGGATTCTGATGGATTACTAAAATCTGGATATGATATTAGAAATAAGTGTTACTATTTATTGATCGATTTTAACATGATCATGATAATTTAAACCATCTAGATGCAAAAGCACACAAAACTTTATTAAAAACTAAGATGGATTCTGATGGATTACTAAAATCTGGATATGATATTAGAAATAAGTGTTACTATTTATTGATCGATTTTACCATAATTATGATAATTTATACGATTTAGCGAAGAAAGCATGTAAACGTTTAAAAGAAAATGTACACCAAAACGATGAGAAAATGCGAACCGGTTATCAACAAATGGGTAAGACTCTACAGTTAGTATTAAATGAAGATGCAGTAATAACTAATATTTATTTATTCTATTCAATTATGAAAAAAGAGAAGAAAGTAGAATTTTCGACCAGTGTCTGTTGGAAACAGCTAGTAAATTCGGTCATCATCGGTACAATTAACATAACAACTGTTATATCGTTTATTATTCAAGTTAATCTATTTTAAAATTTATGACATATATATTTGCAGCCTTTATAACTTGAACTTATTATTAATTTGGTTTCATTCGTTGTTACTGTTATATTTGTCGTGTTATGTACACTTGGATCTGATGTTTTGATAGAGTTGTTATGTTATTGTACCGATGATGACCGAATTTACTAGCTGTTTCCAACAGACACTGGTCGAAAATTCTACTTTCTTCTCTTTTTTCATAATTGAATAGAATAAATAAATATTAATTATTACTGCATCTTCATTTAATATGACATGATATTTCGTTTATTATTCAAGTTAATCTACTCTACAGTTAGTACTGAGTACCAGACATATATTGTTGTTTCAGCTGCTACAAAATATGCAAATGGCTCAGAAGAAGCAAGAAATAAAATTCATGCATTTATTAGAAGAACAAATGTGGATGAAACCGATGGCTATGGACCACCAACGACAATTACGACTACAATGTGTAATATAAATCAATATGGATGGTCCGCAACTTGTCCTAATTGCCGATCTGTATCTGCGGTTACTTACGTCAGTGAAAAAAAGCCTAATGCTCTGATTAGGCCTCAGTGCAATAACGTATCGCAGCACAAAAACAAACAGAATATTTATCTGAAAGCGAACAATCCTATAATAGAGAAGTATGTAAGGTGCCGTTCAGCTTACGTTTAATTTTTTGTGATGATAGTATAATGTATTCAATAAATAATGCAGTAAACGCAGTAAAAACTCAGTATATCAATCATATGGAATAAAAAAAAACTGGAAAAATAGAAGGTGTGGGTGTGTGGGTGTGAGTGCGGGTGTGGGTGTGGGTGTGGGTGTGGATGTGGGTGTGGGTGTGGGTGTGGGTGTGGGTGTGGGTGTGGGTGTGGGTGTATGGGTGTGCGTGTGAGTGTACTTCCATAAATGACCCGTAGTCACATCCACATCCACCCACACTCTCAAGAATTACGTGATCCATCACAAAATTCAGTAAATCTTCCACAAGAATTTAATTTAGCACCACCTGATGCATTACCACAACGTGCAAGATTTATAAATAATAATAATAATAATAATATTACACAACCATTTATAGTTAATGAAGAAAATAATAATCCAATTCAACAAGAACAATAAATACGTACAAGTACATCATCACATAGACGTCGGCAACGTCGATATCGTCAGCAACAATATCAACGTCAAAATAATATGAATAATAATAATCGATTTGAAATATTAAGTGACATAAATGATATTGATGAAAATGAAAATGAAACTGATGATAATGATAATTTAGTTGAATTGTATGAAATAAATAAAAATAATAATAAAAAAGATAAAAGAAAACAGATTCGTTTATATCTTGAACCTAATCGTATATTGAAATGGTTCAAAGAGAATTCAAAACATAGTAAGAATGCTATAAGTGGTCGTGATAATCAGGCTTATACATTAGCAACAGTTTCTCTATAGGATGAATGGATTTTTGTTTAATAAGTAATTTAAGCAGAATTAGATAACAAAAAATAAATAATGGAATTAAAAACCAAATAAAAGGTTTAATGAAAATTGAAACGTCAATAAAAATGAAATCAATTATACATTAGAATTATTACATAAAGATTAATTCTTAAGAAGAATATTCGCGATTACAATCTATGGACAATAGTATTGACCAATGCCAACATTAAAATAAATATATGTCGCTATTATATTAAAATTAAAAAATTAAAAATGATGGATAAAAATTAAATATTGAACATTAAAATACACAACAGAAAGTTTGATTAAAAAAGATCAACACAAGAACCACTTTCTTCAACACAATTAACAGTAACACAACAACAAGTAGCACGTCATGCATCGGGTTATTCTGAATATGATCAGTGACCTTTAAAATTAATTTTAGAAGTTAAACAATGTTTCGTTTATTAATGATTAATTTATTCTACAGTCTACGAAAAAAGTTCTGGGATAGTCAAGAATGATTTCCCAAAATTTTATGTTTCATTCGAATCAAACTTGTTATATATGGTAAGTGTATTTATTCGATAAGCTTTCATACTACAGCATGTAGACGCAAAACTTTTGGCTTTGATATAAAAAAAGAAGAGAACAAAAACTGCCCAGCGGAAAAAAATTCTGGGATATATATAACAAGCATCGAAAAATTAATAAAAATAACTTATGAATAAATAAAATTCAATAGTCTATACATTTACCATTAACTGCAATACATTTCTGAATTCAACGTGGCATTGAAAATACAAGTTTTTGACATAATTGTGGTGTTATTGATAACCATGCCTTTGATAAAGCTTCAATTAATTCTTTTACCGACGAGAGTGACTTAGATTTTAATTTATTATCTATAACGGTCCATAATGATTCAATAGGATTGAGATCCGGACTTTTACTGGGCCATTTTAATACTTTAACACCTAATTCATGAAATTTCATTTGAGTTTGTTTCGATAGATGATATTTGGAATTGTCATGTTGGTAAAAATAATTATTTTCCATTTGATATAATTGGACTATTGGAATTAAATAATTATCTAAAATATCACAATAAACATCACTATTAGTATTTTCATTGTAAATTCGAAAACAACCAGTTCCATCAGAAGTGATAGTACCATAAAAATTTACACGACCACCACCACCTGCAGCTGCCACATGCATACAACTTTCTTTCCAACGTTCATCTTTTGTACGCCATATTTTTGTTTTATTTTTACGTTTTATTACGTAAAAACATATTTCATCACAAAATATTATATTTTTCCATTGATTAATAGTCCAATTTGAATAATCCAAACACCAATTAAGTCTATTTTTTTAACATTCTTATTAAGAAATGGTTTTGTTATTTTCGTTTTATATTCATATCCACATTGATGCAAATAATTAATAATTGTTCTTGAAGTAACTGGACTGTTTAATGTGTCATTTAACTTGATAGCTATTTCACCTGTCGAATATCGTTCACCTTTTTATACTAAGCGCTTTAACATACGGATATTTCGTTCATTTAATTTTTTTGGTCTACCGGCACATGGTCGATCTTGAAATTCACCTGTTTCTTCATATCGTTTTAAAGCACGTTGAACAGATGATTTCGAAATACCAATGATAGTGCTAATTTCACGACAACTAATATTGACTTTACTCAACGCAACACATTGAGCTCGTTAATAATCACGACGACGTGCTTGCGTCATGTTATTGTGTTCAATAGAAATTTTTTGATGTTACTAGCCGTAGTAAATTCATTCCTTAAACATAAACCAATAGGATTAGTATAGTTGAGATAGACAGCAATTCGAGTTGAAGGTTTTTCACAACGAAAAGTTATTTGTTATTTTTTTGTTATTAATAACAAATAACAAAAAAGTTATTGTCATTAATAACAATGACAAAAATAAGTTATTGTTATTAATAACAAATAACAAAAATAGTTATTACTATTGATAACAATAACAAAAAAAAATTATGATTATTATTATTAATAACAACCGAATAACAATAACTTCTCACCCACACCCTTAAGTCCTCGAGTCCTATTATTCGGGGGCATCCTTGGGTCCTCAAGTCCTACTATTGGTGGTACCCTTAGGTCCTCAACTCGTACTATTGGGGGTACTCTTAGATCCTCAAATCCTTCTATTGTGGGTACCCTTGAACCCTTAGACGCTTTCACAGGGACATCTTTGAGTTCTGTAGTTCTGTTGTTTTGGGCAACAAATGTCTGCTATTGCCGTAACTATTACTAGGTTGTTGATGACAGTGTATTTATTCGTTGGTGATTAATGGTAAGGCTGGTATTTTTTGTTACTCGATAAATATACTGCTTGTGTGAATGCTATTCCCGTAGCCCACGAGCTGCGTGTGAACTTGGAACGGCTATAATAATGGCCGATGCCGGGGCGGGGAGTGGGCATCGGTAGTGATGAAGAACAATTCGGATTACGAAAAGATCTACGCTGCTTATCGTATAAAGTTTCGGTAGTCTTTAATCCTGTTTCATTCTGCGTTCCCAATTTTTTTTGAAGCGCTTTGTTATAGAAGAACTTGGATTTGGGAAGATCCTGCCGGATGAAGTAGCCGTACTTTTTTCAAGGTTTTTGGATTGAGAGCAGTGTTATTGGATAGCTTTTTTTTGCATTAGCAACTGTGCATGAGAACTCACTGCTAGGTTAGTTCGTAGGCGGTTACGAATAAGGAAAGTTCCACATCTTCATTTTTCATGGTAGGGGCCGGTGTATCGAGAAACTAATTATTAGGCAACATGGTTTTCTTAATTACGATTACCATAATTTATTTGATCTGTTTGGCTCAGAAAGCTGATTGCTTAACGTGAGCCTGGCTGTGACTGCAGCAGCGGGATGGTTCTGTGGCTATTACAGTAAAAACACTAGCAGCCACCTCCACTGGCAACATCTACATCCACACCCACATACCCACTGCCATATCCCCGTACCCACACCCGCACACATTATCCATCCTACTTCCTATAGTGGGTGTTTAGGGTCTAACGCTACCTCTTTCTAGTAGTAATTGAGAACCCAATGGTACTCTCAATAGTAGGACTTCAGAACCCAAGGGCACTTCCATAGTTGAAAATGAGGATCCAAGGGTCTCCCAACAGTAGGACTTGAGGACCGAAGGGTGCCCAATATGACGACTTGAAGATTTAAGGATACCCCCAATAGTAGGACTTGAGAAACTAAATGTACCCCTAGTCGTAGGACTTGAGGACCTAAGAGTATCCCCAATAGTAAGACTTGAGGACCCAAGGGTACCCCAACAGTAGGACTTAAGGACCTAAGGATATCCCCGAATAGTAGGACTTGGGAACCTAAGGATATCTCTCAACGGTAGAACTTGAGGACCCTAGGCTACGGGGTTGATGACGGGAGACACTTACCTGACTGTTACCTCTATTCCCGAGTAACTGGTAACATAACGGTAACTTTCCACCCCTAGTTGAAGGTTCTTCAGAAAAAAAGTTATTTGTTATTTTTTTGTTATTAATAACAAATAACAATAACAAAAACAAAAGTTATTATTATTTGTTATTGTCATTAATAACAGCCGAATAACAATAACTTCTCACTTCTACTTTAACTTCATCAATAAATCGACATTGAGTATCAATTGGATAAATAACAGATCCTGTATCTTTATTAATAGTATCATTTGCAATACAAATACGAATATCATCTTCTCCAAAAAAAGAAGCTTGATGAACAACACCTGCACCATTCTCTTCTGTTACATAATCATCATATAATATACGAAATGCTGTTTTTACCTATTTTATTTAAAAGGAAAGACATTATTAGAAACCAAAAAAGAAATCTTACGTTAGTAAAATAAGGAAATAATGGTGTATAACGCATTTCTTTCAAATAAGATCCTTTGAAACTGCAAAAAATCAAATTTATATTCAAAACAAAAATAAACATAGATTTTTATTTAACTCACCTGTCTACAAAGTGCAATATTTGATGATAATGTCCATGGAGTTGTAAATCATACTACTGGCAAACCATGAGAATTTAACAACAATAAACAGTACATCTATTATATGAAAATTAGGAGTAGAAAGTGGATCTTACTCTAATCAAATCAACGTTCAACATGATATCCTATTTGATGAGCGCCATCGAGTAACTGTATCTTTAATTGTTCCAACTAAAATATTTGCATAGTGCGGAAGACCAGTAGCAAATGGTGGATCATCAGAGAATATATATTATCTTTAATAATTAATTTGTTTAGTTATTTTAGACTTCTTTTTTTTTTATTTTTATCTCGGTCGATCTTTTGTATTTGTTTCAGAAAGGATGTAAGATGTGGATGTAGCTCTAATTAGCGGTGATCAATTTACATGAAAAAAAAGTTATTATATCCAGAAATAAATTTTTAAAAATTGACAAGAATTTAGATCTAAAATAAATTAATAAGCAAATAGCGTCCTTTGTTCTAATCTCTACTCATACGCAGCTTTATCCATTTTCAACATGAGTTTCACGAGTTTTATCGCGTTCAAATGCTAAAATACGTGTTAACGCGAAAAGATCAGCTAAAAAAAGATATTTTAACATGTATTTTTCTGAACAGATATTATTATTTTTAACAATCACTCATTATTTCTTTCTTTTGTTTTTAAAGCGAGTCGAAGCGTTTAACCCTGACACGCCCACCTGGGGTCCGTACGGACTCCAGCTCAAAATAAGAGCTCTGAAGACATGTTTTGTTCGTTTTACGGGTACGTATCGAAAGGATGAAAACTTTCCAGATTGGTAGTATATGATACTCTCCTTCAGTGTGATATGACTTGAAAAGCTAAACACTTACTATTGAATTTGAATTTCATCCGACTTAGACTGGTAGTATCTGAGCATTTATAGAGGTCGGCATGTCAGGGTTAAACGAATTCGTCTCTTGAGATTAGTTTGTATGCCGAATGTGTATTTGATGTTTTTGACGGTAGAGTTTTCTTAAAACCATTTAAAGTTCTTGGTTTTTCATATAAATGACGAAAGTTGTGGAAGGTTATATGATTAAAAAATGATAAAAAATAAATATTGAATATTATATATTATTATTTAACATTGTGAAAACAAAAAAACAAGGTAAAAATAATACAATGAATAAAGTAACCACGCTTCTAAATCACTTCGTAAACAAAAAAACATGTTTTGAGTAAACATGAATAATTGAAGCGTAATTACCTGTTCGTTTTCTGTTACATTGTTTTTCTATTTACCAAGAACTGAATCTGCACACTGCGCATTAAGTGATATTTTCAATCAATTGCATCCATGTAATTCGAACCAGACAAAAACTGTCGGTATACCGATCGGCATAATGTGCCCTATACTGGCGGTTTACTACTGGCTTTTTTTGAAAGTGGTATGTCATGATGCATTGTATCGAAACGAGTGAATATTTGTGAAGCCTGTTTAAACTGATAGAATTGATTTGATTTCGGTATACTCTAATAATGTTGATGCGTCTGAGCCACTTGTACTAGTCATACAGTCTAAATCAGCCTCAATTCTGATATAAATTTTTTATTATAGATGGCGCCACAAAACTTATATTAGTAAAATATATTCTGAAATTATTTATCTCACGATTTTCAATGAGTTAAAGAAGAGTTGTACAACATATTCGAAATATCCAGACAGAGAAAATAATTTAAAAGACTTGCACGAATACTATAAACATATCGACCGTTTTCGAATGCTCGTTACGGTTCCTGATTGCCATTCAAAGACATCCAGAAAAATGCCGTATGAAAACGATCACTTCTTACATTCGCTGAAGTTTTTGACGATTTATACGTTACGGATTCTTATTCATTTTCGTACGTATTTTTTGTAAACGTTTCTAATTCACAATTGGAAACCGCGGTTGACATCTTGAATCGTCCAAACTTTTTATGTATTTACATAGGTCATTATTTTTTTCTATTTCTGAGCTTTTTTGATTTGTTGTTTCCATGATATACCTATTAACTTATCTGCAAACCCATCTGATAAACTACTCAACTAGATCTATATCCACTTACATATCTATATGTCTGCTATATATGTTCAAGTTTCACGAGATTTAAAAACAATTGGAGACGTAAGATCATTTTTAGAAGCATCTAACCACATCATAATTCTTTTTGAACCCTTAACCGTTTGGTTTATATCACCTCATTCGTTTTGTAGCATAAATTTGTTCTAACGAAAAATATTTTTATTACTGAATAGAATTGTTTTTATTCGACCAGATAAAAAAAGCAAATTGATCGTTTACCAAAAAAATATGATCTTGTTGATACAATTGAAAATTGATCTTGCAGAAAATTATTCATTTTGAAAAAACGAAGATGCATACTTAAAATCAATTGTCTTTTGTAAATTATAGACCTTTTAATGCTGGATCTTGTAGTGTATTTCGTTTTTTTTTCTTTAATACAACATATTAAGCGATTGAAAATTAAAATGCAAAACGTGATCATTTAGTCTGTCTCACCCGTTATTTGCCGATTAATCCGAGCATCAATAAGTAAAATAGAACTCATGTAACAATTTCTGAAACATGAAGACATCAAAATGTGCAATAAACTTTTTGAATATGCTAGAAAGTGAAAACAAAGAATCACCATCTCCAAATCAGTCTGCCAAGTATTTCAAAAACCAATTAATCTATGCTTCCTAATAATATTAATAAACGATATCCTATTCTAATGTATGAATGACTTTAAATTTCTCGCATATATTTGAACTAATAAGTTGTTCATGCGCAAATCTGTTGCAAGTTGTTTAGAAAAGGTTCAACAGTCGTACATGAAATTGAAATGGTTGAAACGCAGTATGGTGATCTTCATTGGTGTATTGCAACAATACTTTTTCATATATTTATTCTCATTTTTTGCTTGACTTTTCTACCTTTTCCTCTTTCTCCCGCATATTCAACAAGAACTGCTTTGGCAAAATTTTAAAGCAGTCCGAGATTAGTCCATCGATGTCCATGAGTAGCAGTTCAGGTGTTGCATTATTTCATTGACGAAAAAGGAACATAAAACCTTGTTATGAATATGGTTAAAATTTGCTGAATATAAATAAATAAATGATGGCAACAACTTATGGCATAAACACTTACTTTCTTTTTTTCTTTTAAACTCTTCTGCATATTCTTTCCCTCCTTCTTCTATAGTTGCTTTAAGATGAACACTCAGTTTTTGTGCGTTGTTTGTCTGTTTATTTACATTCATTTTTTGATAGTGATGTTTTTAACATTATGACCTTGTGTTTTCCTTTTTATCTTATTGCTCTCTCTTCTTCTTGTTTTTTCTTTTTTCCTTTTTATATCTTACTTCATTTGTTAGCGCTTCAGAGCGTTGCAAGTAAAACAAACGCATCATAAAAAAAATGTGGTTAATGCTCTATCCTTTCACCTATAGATATAAATAAACAAAAGAAAAGCTTATTTCTTGATGCATGTTTAGATAACATATTATTTTATTATCGCTCATAGAACAACGTCGATATATTATACTTTTCGTACCAATACAACCAGCAAATGTATGTACAGTTTCTTCGTAAGATCTTTCTGGTTATGAGTATTGAGTGGACTTTTCGGTCTTCGAGTAGAATTACTAACTTTGTATAGGGTTACTTTCGTGTCATTGTAATTGTTTTCCTTGTGTTGAAAACTTTCGAAAATTTCTTATGATACGAACGTCATTAATTAGCTGCTATAAAGCCACACTCCTCGTAAGGCATCTATGGCATGGTTTGGCTATCCCGTTTGTAGGTGACACTGTATAACTACAATCGTTCAAT